CACCACAAGGCAGCATGTCCAGAACTGCCACTTCCCCAGGGTTTGGGGGCTTTGGCACTGCCCCTTGTTTAGAGCAACCACTGTGCAAAGCCTCCTCAGGAAGGGCAGGCTGAGCAGAGGGCAATATGTGGAAGGGGGGAGCAAGTGCTTCCACTTGGAGATTCAGGACCCTGAGTGTGCTGTGGGTGGGTTTGGCAGGAGCCGGTGAGTTCCAGGCAAGTCACCAGTCTTCCTGACAGAAGCCTGAACAGCAGTCTCCCCATCATCCCTGGCTCCCTAGAGGAGCTTGGCCTAGTGCGTTCCCTTCTTTTCTCTCTCTTTTTGCATGCCCTGTACAGTACAGGAGCCACTAGCCATGGGTGGAACTTGAGCATTTGAAATGTGGCCAGTGCTAATTCAGACCTGTGTTGAATGGAAAACATCTGCCACATGCAGAAGACTTGGTATTATGGGAACGATAGGTGGATTATCTCAGCAGTAATTGTACTAATAATATGTTGAGATCCTGATGGTTGGGCTGTACTGAAATCAACATGACATCCTATTTAGTTGACCTGTTGTGTTTCTTCTCATGCACTGTTTCATGTGGCCACTGAAACATTTAAAAGTATATACATGGCTCTGGCTCCTCTTTTTTTTTTTTTGTACCAGGGATCAAACTTGGGACCTTGCACTTGTAAGGCAGGCAGTGGAACTCCTGAGCTAAATCCCTGGCCTGCAGGGCTTTCTTTGTACTGCTTGTTACTTCTGAGTGAGAAAATTCTAGCTGTATGTCCAGTGGGTCTGGAGAGGGACCAATTGGTTATGGTGTTTTCCCAAGTTTGACATGGCTGAAGTACTCTTCAAGGAACTGTCGCCATTTGGAATGGTATCACCACTACCAGCAATTAGCCCGGAGCCACCTGCACTGCTGTTAATTGGACAAGTCCAGGAGTCCCCAGTACCAGGACCCTGGAATCCACAGGCGGGCCCGCTGGAGCTGAACTGTGGTGAGGCTGACAAATCTCTAACCTTTCCGGACCCCGGTAAGTAGAGCATCTTCTCCCTGTTCTTTTGTTTCTGTGTGAGAGCTCAAGGTTGCTCAAGGTCAGGGGTTTGTTTGGCAACTCAGACACCACTGTGTAAGTGGGGCATTGACATAGAGAGGCAAAGGAGGAGGAGGAGAGCAGAGCAAAGAGGGAGAGAGATTAAGGAGGAGGAAGAAATATATCTCTGGGAACAGTTTCTCACTTTTGTGGGAATGGCATTTGGAAACGGTGAACATCATGACTCTGCTTTGAGGCCTTTGACTAAAAATGTTATGTGGGAAAAGAATGGGAGTTTGGATAATGTGGATGAGGCCTCATTTGTCCAGCAAATTCTGGTCCATATGGTTGTTTCTCCACATGGCCACAGTGGCTTTTTAAAAATCCTTTAGTAACATGCTCTCTTCAGATTCTTTAAGAGGATTCAGTCCCTTCCACAGCATAGGGGACATATCTGTTCCATGAAATCTCTACTGGAACAGTGTTTCTGAACAATGTCAGCATCACCTGGGCTGTGTTCAACAAGCTCCCCATGTGACTGCTGCCCACACGGAAGGTAGAGAAGCATGGCCTGAGACAGGTCAGGGGAAGTTCTAGGAGAAAGTAGTCCAGGTGCAGGAAGGCACTTTTGAAAGTGGGTTTCCAGAAGTGCCTCGTAAAGTGGAAGGAATGATGAGATAAGTGGATTAGAAATAAGGAGTATTTTTGGTGACGATTAGTGGCAGTCTGTCTTCTTTGTGTGTGTTTATGTGTGCATTTTGAGAAAAGGTCTTGATGTAGTTCAAGCTGGCCCTGATCTCACTGCGGGACAATTTAGATATGTATATAATGATCACATTCATCATAGGGAATTTGCACCTGTACAAATTCCTTTTATTCCTCACTTCCCTCCCCTCCCTTCAGCCTCTCTTCTCCTCCGTATTTACAAATATCTTTATATTTATTTATTTATTCATTTCTCTTTCATCTTGCTATTCTCATTCTTTTCCTTTTCTTCCTTTCCCCCTCCCTCCTTTTTCCATGTGAATAATTTCTTCTGATTTCACAATATCTTTTATTCATTTTGGCCATTTACACTTTCAGTAGCTATTCTCACTTTTCCTTTTCTTCCTTTCCCCCTCCCTCCTTTTTCCATGTGAATAATTTCTTCTGATTTCACAATATCTTTTATTCATTTTGGCCATTTACACTTTCAGTTTTTCACATTAGAGAGCCAATGTGATATTTCCTCATGTGTGTGCAATTTCACTTAAGAGTTCTGCCTCATGTCAGGCATGGTGGCACACACTTATGATCCCAGTATTCAGGAAGCTGAGGCAGGAGGATCACTGCAAATTCAAGGCTTGTCTGGGATACATATTGTGTTCAGGGGCAGCCTGAACTACAAAGTGAGACCCTGTCTCAAAGAACAACAAGAAGAAGAAAGTATTGCCTCAAGGTGCATCCACTTACCTAGAAATGTCTCAAGTTTATCATTGTTTATGGCTGAATAGTACTCCAGTATATATAAAAAGCACATTCTTTTTATCTATTCATTGTTTGATGAACATTTGAGTTGTTTCCAAAATTTAGCTATTATAAACTGTGCTGGTATAAATGTGGGTATACTTATATTGCTGCCTGAACTTGAGGCTGTTTGCAAACTTATGGTGACCTTCCTGCCTCCACCTTACTAGCGCTGGAATTACAGGCCTGAACCATCACCTGACTTTCATAATTTTTTTGGTACTAGATATTGAACTCAGGACCTTGCACTTGTGAGGCAGGCAGTGGAACCAATGAGCTAAATTCCTAGCCCTCATAATATTTTTTATTTAAACATTCACCCATATTTCTTATGCACAGTTCAATTATAACATTTCCCACATCTCACAATTTGGTAGATGGGAACTTTTTTGAAATAATAAGCTGAGCTTCAAAGAAAGGATAATCAAAAAGGTCAGAAATCACAGTATGTGGTTACAATATAAAGACACGATTCTCATTTTCTTAGCTGAAGGAGCTGCAAGTAGACTAGAAATAAATTGTAGGGAGTATTAAGGATAAAATATTAATGAAAGTGTTGGAAACTAAGAAAGCACAAGTTGCAAAGTTTGAAAAATGTACTAGATACGTAAGTCTATCAAATGGGAGAATGGGGAATAAATGTGGCCAGTGAAAGCAGCTGACTGGGAGGGAGAAGGAGCTGAGCTGAATGCTCGGCCGTCTGCGCAGAATTTGTGTCCAGCAATAGGAATTTGCCCACAGGAGGTATGAGCATGATTGTTTCTTCATCTGAGTTCAACCAGACCCTTGTACATACTAGCTTTTGCAATACTGCCAGAAGATCTACAGTTGGAACTAACAGAAATACTCATCTTAAAAAATGCAGAGCACAGCATGCTTTTATAAACATGGAGTTCACAAATTAGCACAATGAACCTGAAAATTTATTTTCCATGGAGAGTTAAAGTTGGGGGAGTTGGCTATTTTCCATTTAATTTTTTTCATTTTATTTTTTCCCATTTGCAATTAATGTCGTTTGCAGTCATCTTGGGGAATTGTTACATGTACATATTACAGCTTGCTTCTTTTTAAAATCCCTTTTCTTTTCCCTCCCCCTCCCAACCTCCTCCTCCAGTTCCCGTACCCCATTTTACATTCTTGATACAGTATTACTAATCTTCCCTCATGTTTTGGCAAATAATATTTACGTTAATTGTGGTAATTTGGTTCCTCTCCATGGATTATCTTTATTCTACTCATTTCCCCTTTACCTTCTCCTCACCCCTTGACCTTGTTCCCTCAGACCACTTCCCTATTGCAAGAGATCTATCCCCTTGTCCTCTTCCATTCATCTTTGTCATGTTCTGTTTGTACTTTGTCTCACTCAGATGAGAGATACCATACGTTATTTAAGCTTGTGTGCATGGTTTTTTAACTCAACATTATATTTTCCAAGTGCATCTATTTTCCTACAAGTTTGTCAAGTTTGCCATTCTTTATAGCTGAATAGTATTCCATTGTATATAGATACCACATTTTCTTTATCCAATTGTCTGCTGATGTGTATACAAGCTACTTCCAAGATTTAGCTGTTACGAATTGTGGTGCTATAAACATTGGTGTGCATGTATCGCTGTATTATGATAACTTAACCTCTTTGGGGAAGATACTTAGAAAGGGGATGGCTGGGTCATATGGAATTTCTAATGTCATTTCTTTCAGAAGTCTGCGTTCTGATTTCCATAATGGTTATACTAGTTTACATTCTCGCAAACCATAAAAGAGGGTTCCTTTTCACCACGGCCATGCCAGCATTTGTTATTGTTCGATTTTTTAATGATTGCCATTTTTTCCAGAGTGAGATGTAATTTTAGCATTGCATTACTTTGCTTTTATCTAAGGGCCAGAGATTTTGAACATTTTTTCATTTCATGTATTTATCATTTGTGTTTCTTCCTCTGCGAAGTATCTGTTCATTTCTCTTCCTAATTTCTTGACTGGGTTTTTAATTTTAGGTGTTTTTTTTTTTTTTTTTAGTTCTTTGTATATTCTAGATCTTGGCCCTCTGTCAGAGTAATAGCTGGCAGATTTTCTTCCCATTTTGTAGGTTGTCTCTTCACCCTACTGACTGATTCTTTTCCTGAACAGAAGCTCTTTAGTCTGATAGGATACCATTTGTTGATTCTTGCTGCTGTTTCTTGTGTGATAGAGATTCCGTTTAGAAAAGCCTTCCGCACACTTACATCTTCAAGGGTTTTACTTATTTTATCTCTCAGTAGGTTTAGTGTTTCTGTTGTAACATTTAGATCATTGAATCCATTTGGTTTTTGCTTTGGGTTTTTTTTTTTTTTTTGAGACAGGGTCTCACTATGTAGTTGAGACTGACCTAGAACTCACTATGTAGCCCATGCTGGTCTCAAACTCACAGCGATCCTCTTGCCTCAGCCCCCTGAGTGCTGGGATTACAGGCATGTGCCACTACTCCCTTCACATCATTGATCCATTTGATTTTAATTTAGTATATGTGAGAGATAAGGGTCTAGTTTCAATCTTCTGCAAGCAGATAACCAGTTTTTCCAGCACCACTTATTGAATAGGCTTTCTTCCAACGTATGTTTTTAGCCTCATTGACAATGATCAGTTGATGTGTCTGGGGAGGTTTCTCTATCCTTGGTTGTGTTCCATTGATTCACATATCTGTTTTTGTTCCAGTATCATGCTGTTTTTACCACTATTGCTTTGTATTATAGTTTGAAGTCAGGTATTGCTATGCCTTCTGCTTTGTTCTTGTTGTCCAAAACTGCTTTTGCTATTCTGGATCTCTTCTTGTTGAATATAAAATTTAGAATTGATTTCTCTACTTCTGTAAAGCATGCTGTTGAAATTTTGATTGGGACTGCATTGAATCTGTGTAACAGTTTGGGGAGTATGGCCATGTCAACAATATTGGTTCTGCCTATCCAGGAGCAGAGAGTATATTTCCATTTTCTGAGGTCCTCTTCAATTTCCTTCTTCAAAGTTTTGTAGTTTTTTGTAGAGGTCTTTAATTTCTGTGGTTAGGTTAATTCCTAGGTATTTCATTTTTCTTGAAGCTACTGTTTATGGTATTGTTTTGTAATTTCCTTCTCGTCAAGTTCATTATTGTACACAAATACTAATGATTTTTGTGTGCTGACTTTGTATCCTGCTACAGTTCTGAAGTTGGTTATTAATGCTGAGATTTTAGGTGGAAGTCTTTGGGTCTTCTGTGTAGAGTATCATGTCATATGCAAACAATGATAATTTGATATATTCTCTTTCTCCGTATATCCCTTTTATTTCTTTCTCTTGCCTGATTGCCCTGGCTGTTTCAATTACTATGTTGAGTAGACAAGATGAGAATGGACATTCTTGTCTTGTTCCTGATTTTAGGGAGAATGCTTTTAGTTTTCCCTATTTAATACAAGGTTGTATATTGGTTTGTCATTAACAGCCTTTCTCATATTCAGGTACAGTCATTCTATGCCTGTTTTCTT